TCAGGTTGGCCAGGCTGATGCTTCATGCCGTGCCAGGTTTGACAGCGTTGGATACAGCACAAACTGTCGTGTCAGTCACTTAAGCAGTTGTCAGTTACATTAGTCGGCTAGAGTGAAATCTAATGAAAAAGGTAGACGCACAGATAAGATTGTGGGATTACTGGTTGCTATTTTTGCCACTGGACTGGGGGATATATGAATCAATCCTGGTCTGATGTACGACTGCAACTACAAGTAGCTTGAATGCGAATTTTGATCTGTTGTATTCAGGGTGTATCATCGCAGCCCAACCGCCGGTCGTGACCGAACCCAATGCAATTATCAACATCAATGCGGCACACAAAATCACACAAGACAATTAGAAAAAGACCCCACCCATGCTGTATAGCAATGCTCCTCTTGTACAACGCCGATCCAGTTCAAGCCTGCCTGGGACCAACGGATTAAAGCAAACCCAGGGAATAAACCACACGTGTCGTTAACATGACCATTCCAATCTGAACAGTTTCGAACCAAGGCAATATGCTAAATCGTATACAACAGAACAAAAGAAAATAGAGAAGAAGAAGAGATCGACAGCGTGAGGACCTAACTTCGTCAAACAGAACTGAAAGTGCCTCCAACAGACTATGCGGTGAACACCCGGTCCAGTTGCCGCAGTGCGCGCATGTCTTCTCCCCCAAACCCGATCTTTTCGTTGGGTATGTCTCGGGGTCCCTCGGCGCGTCCTGCGGCCGGGGCTGGGGGAGCGGCGATCGACGGCAATCCACCAGAAGGCGCGCCGTTCATCAGCGCACCGATGCTGGGCACGGTGGTGCCGGTGCTGGCTTCCAGTGGCTTGGGCGCCACCGTGCTCGGCGGGGGAATTTGTACGCTACTGGACGGTGGCTGACTGATCAGTTGGGGACTGCGCGCGATAGATGGGATGCCGTTGCTGTGCGGCATATGATGTGGCTGTGTGCGGGGTGACGATCTCGCAATCTCGCGAGGCGGGCCAAGCTCCGGTGGACTCGGGCGGTGGTGAAGAAGCTCGTGCGCTCCGGGCGGCACTCGTGGTGACCGGCTTGGAAGCACCTGCACGCTCGACGGTTGATGGAGAGATGGCGCCATCGTAACTTCAGCTACATGCACCGGCCGCTCGTGGTGTGCCGGCAATCCCGGTGGTTGCGGAGGCGGCAAGGGCGTACCAGGTGGCACGGCAGCCTGATGACCATATGGTATTTGACCATTGGGCTGAGACACTGACGGAAGGTAAGATGGATAGTGGACCGGAACGGGCGGAGTAGCCAGCGGAGTCGGAGGCCATGTATATGAAGGAGTGTATGGCGCCGGGTGTGCAGCCGGAGAGCGCCCATAGGGTGCCATGGGATGGGGAGGCACATATGCGGCACCGGCCATAGGACCACGAGTCACAACGGGAAGATTCTGTTGATCGTTCACAGTAGACTCCGGATAAAGCCCCTTTTGAGGACGCACATGTCGCAAATTGGGGTCTGTCGACGGTTGTTGAAGGTTGGCCGCAGACGGATGTGACCTTGAGTAGTAGCTGATCAGATGGAGGTGCTGACCGGTAGATGTCGTAATGCTGAAGGACTGTTTCATCAAGCCATCAGGCTTGTAGCGGTAGCCATCCGGCCCTTCGTCTGCGCCATCTCCACGGTCGTCGTCACTGCCTCGTGTGCTTTCTGGTGTTTTACCAGCTCTCGACATCGTCGTCTGAGCAACACCGGTTCCTCCCCGTTTGCCTTCCATCTCGCGATATGTTAAGAAGCTTCCAGATACGCGACTGGCACTCCATGATTTGCCATCGGTCCATCTTCGCATGCCCGCTTCGCGTTCATCCCAGACAAAGACTGACCCGGAACGAATTAATTGACGTTCCTTCTCGGATAAACGTCTCTGTACGCGGGGAAGAAGGCCAATGCGACAAGCTTCGAAGAGGATGATAGCGTCCGCAGGAGTGCGGACGTGCCCGTGATACGTCTCCATCCACCTTCGGTGATCTGTGCAGGTCCCCGTGATGACTGTTGGTTTAAGCGCTAGGACCGGGGGTTTCGTAGGGTGAAAAATGTTGAAAGATGTGCCGGAATGCAGGCAATCTAGATGAGGTCGGAAGTCGAACAACGGCTCTTCGGTAGCCGTTCAACAAACACCGTACAAGCGTGCGATATTCCCGGAATAGGAAACAAAAGGCCAACTTTCAAGAGAAGGTGAGAGATGAGCAGGTGTTGTGAAGAACCCACTGCGGAAAATAATCTGAAAGTCAAGAAACAACATTAATTTCCCATCTATGTGATTGAAGAATGAATAGGGTGGAGGAGTGGAGTGGAGTGGGAGGGGAGGGGGAGGACAGAGGGGATGGAATGTAAAGAAAGCAGGGCAGCAAGGAAGGGGATAGGAAACAAGGAGTGGGGAGGGACTGATAGGAGAATAAAGAAGAATGCAGGCAGGCGGAGGTTGAGCGTTATACAAACGCCGCTGAGACAAGGGGAGCTACGACATGCAAAGGCCGAGCAGGTACAGGCAAGACTTACCGTGGCGGAAGGTAGCGTGTTGTAGTCGCAGTTAAAATCGATCTTGGATGCAGCAAGGCGGGCGACGAACTGTTTAGTGGGCAATAATAGAATGGTAACCGTCAACACCAAGTACTATACCTGGTATACTCAGTTATAAGCAGTAGATGGGAAATGGTTGAAGGTCGCAAGTCGCAGCAAGTCGCAGTAGAAAGAGAAGAAGGGGAGAGGGATCGTGGTAGTAATAATAAGAATAATAATCCAGCTACTTGACTACTAAACTAAACTAATCGGAACCCGAATAAAAAAATATTATTATAATAATAATAAAAATAAAATAATACTAATAACAAAAAAGGGAAAAGAGAAATCAGAAAAAGAATAATGCTTACTCGAAGAATTAGCATTAGAGATAGGGTGGGGAACCGACTTAACTCTGAACCCCACAAGGTAAAGCAGTGGTTTTTATTGAAAGACCATGTAATAATAAATTAAATTAGGTGATGGGAGTTTCCTTTTTGTGCAGGGTGGGAGTGACTAAGACTGGCGTATGTATTTGATTAAAAACCAATTTAGCGAACAGCTCCCGGAAAAAGAATTCTCATAACCATTATGCTGATTATTGATGTTTTCTTTTTTCTTTTTTTGTTATTTTTATTCTGTTGTATTGATATTATTTCCTCATTCACCCTGATATCATTAGTGGTCTCTTTCTTCTGACATTACACCTTTTCAACCCAGCAGGCAAGACAACCAAGACAAGTGAAGGTCAGAGGACTAAATGCTTGGGCCTCTCTCTAGGCGCTGACCATACCGAAAATCAACCAGACGAAAGAAACGACCCCCCGAAAAAGTGGGTAAATAGGAGCCGGCTGCAGCAAATGATCTCATCCGACGGATATTTAGTTGCTGGATTCATCACAAACAAATAGAACCTTGTTTTTAACCTTTTCTTTTTCGCCTGATGATTATCCATGGTTCTGGGGAGCGAGGCTGGCTGGTGTGGGCACCGGTGGAGGCTTCGGTTCTTCTTTTCTCTTTCTTTCTTCCTCTCTTCTGCTGCTGGACCTTTTCCATGGGGCTTAAGATTACTCCGTTTGTGTCTTACGACTGATTGTTACCATATACTTACCAGGTCAGATCCGGTCAATCTCACTTGTAAGAAAGGGATTTAATTATAGCCGAGCGTGCCCACCTTTCCCCCCTCCCTCCTTATCGTAGAAACAAAGAATAGTAATGAATTTGAGCGTGATCGCACCAGGATGAATAATGAGATATGAACAAAAGGGGGGCGCGCGGAGGGAGGGGTGGGAGAGGGGGGAGGAAATAAAGAGACTTCCGGTGGTGGAGTCTAACCCAAGCTTAGCGAGTATCAAGTATGGGACTTGGAGCACAACATGAATAGTCAAGGTGACGCCTTTATACATCGGTATACAGATGGAGTAACTGTATACATACTAGGTGTACATGATGGGTGACACAAGCTCCTGCTTACAGGGCTGGAAGATTCCCACATACCAGATGTTCATTCCGCAGCAAGCATGCTGCACACTGATTGAGCTTCCCGTCCGTATCATGACGACGGAAGGATACCATGATAGTCGTGGCGGCCCTCCTTACGCAGTTTGGCTTCTCCGGTGACAGTCGATCGACCATATCTTGACCGGTCTGCTGCTTGGAGGCTTGGAGGTTTCTTGGCTCCAGCAAAACCCATGATCAGAAAATTGAGAATATTCTCAGTAATCAAACAGGGAAAGGCCAAGAGCATTACCGTATTACACTAGAAAGATACCAGTGGCGCTCTGATCGCTTGCTACCAACCGGAAATTGATTAGTGCGCGACTTTCTGAAGCTTAAGCTTAATCCAACACGAGGAACCTTAAGCTCGCTTAGAAGAGAGACATGGCCCCCCCCCTCCTCCACTGTGGCTGGGGTTCCACTTGTTCCATGGTCGCTTTTATTAGTCTCTTGGGTTTTATGTTTGAATTTCTCATAATTATGCCCGGATATCCGGCGTGTGCACAATATTAATAAAAGTAAAACCTTTTTTACCGTTTTGCCAGCTCCATCCGATGTGTCTTGATTTGGACCCCTACGCGATCGCCAATCACTCATCTGGATTTTGTGGGTGGTGGCCATCATCACCATAACTTTACGGCATTTCTCGTGTTCATCTGATCCGTCTTTGGAGGCCCTCCGTATCGTCTAGAAGAACTTTAGCACAGACCTTGTTCTATGCCCCCGATTCGTAATCGGTATCGGACGGGGAATACGATACGCATTTTTCTTTTATGATTATTTAGGGTTAGACTATCCCCGGGTTACGCAGCGGTTCCGCCCGAAAGTGACCCTTTCGGGCCAAGACTGACGACATTTTCTCCCTTGTAGGCTCGCCTGCCTTTGCCGTTTTGCCGTTGTTTAGGCTTCGTGACTGGATTTTCGGGTCCTCTTATTTTACTTTGTACTTTTCACATTTTATTTCCTTTCCGCTGACATTTATGACTCTTTAATTCCGCGCTCTCGGACTTTCGGCTTCTCGGCAGATGACAACAGCCACTGTGGCGATTCGTACTCGTATCGGGGCGAGCACCTGATCCCGCTTGGGGAATTTCTTTCCCCTCTGATTAGCAGTTTCTTTGTCGCCGCAGTAAAACCAGTCCTAATATCGTCAAAAGATAGTCGCAATATAGGCCCGATATTGGTGATCTGGCTGGTCATGTTAAGCATTCTGACTAACGAGTTTCTCGGACTCTAACTCCGGGTGGCAGAACTTCCAACCTATCGTTGGACCCAGGCCTCTTCCTCCATGCGTCTGAACACCTATCCTGGTCTCAAGCAGGGATCAACTGAGCCTACCAGTGATAAACGCCAGGCAGATGATTATTCTTTTTGCCTGCTAAATGCGTCCCCCTTCTCAGCTGAGAATTTATCCGCTGGACCAAACATCCAGGCTTTCCCTATGAAAAGCTTGACAAATCTTATCCGGGGTGATGGTTCGCATGACATACTGTCCGATAAGTATGATAGTGGGCCCTCCCTCTTTCTTCCCCTCCCCAAAAACGCCTCTCTTTACTCAGGTAGGCAGGTCTTCAGCTCCGGGCGGCAAAGTGAAACCCAGCCAAAAGCAGAACAAGGAACTCCGACAGGCAAAGAGAAGAACGAAGAACTCTAAAAAAAAAAGCCAGTCTAGTATCAGTCATATGCAAATCAATCGGCCACGTAAGACCAGAACATACCTGATCTGCTCGCGACTTATCATACTCCAATCAGCGGGCGTTACCTCCCCGGCGGCGCTTGACCGGGAAATTCGCGTCGCCCATAGTCCGGAGCTTATTGTCCAGTAACGTTGATTAGACTCGATAAAGTTGCGGGCGCAATTCAACCAGGATCGAGCTTTGTCCGTTGCTTCATTCTTTGCCTGAAATTACTCCGTACTTTAATTTAAATTGAAGGTTTGCCTTCTTCTCATTCTTCTGCTCTAGTTGACTTCATTCCACATTGGCAAAGATGATCAAATTAATACTTTTAGCTTTGACGTGTTAGTATCCTGGTCTTGCACAGCCTTCTTCCATTACCATCCGTTATCCACCGTTTCAGGCTTCAGCTTTCTCATTTTCTTATTACACCTTGGCGCTAATGGGGTCCATGATCGATTAGAATCGAAAATAATCACACTAAGAGAAAGTGTCCGACCAAGCCGGCTAGGCTACTAAATTATTACCTTTTCTTTTTCTTTATCACGATAGTGAATTAAATCGAATCGGAAAAATGGAATAATAATAATAATAATAATAATAAAAGCAACGGTAAAAAAAAGAAATACATACTGAAACATGGACGAAAAAGGAAGTTTCACCCATTCGGGCGCTTCCCATGTGGCTACTTATTTACTCTGTACAAACAACTTCATAGTTGATGGGAATGTCAAGAGGAGGGGGTGTGAGATAGATACGTTACAGCTTACAAGGGCCCAACCACAACTAACTACTAACTAGTAGTTGGACTGACTACCAGCAGCGCCATCACCACTAACTCCTGGAACTATAGCGTAGCCGTACTACCGACTAGCGTTCAGGATAAGCGTATCGCCAACAAAGTCGGTCGCATCCTGGCCGGTTTTCTTGGCCCTCCTTGGCTGGCCCACATCAGGATGCGTAAATAATTCGGGCCAAGCGATTCTAGCGGGGTGGTGTGTTTGGTAACTAGTCAGGAGTTGCTGCTGACACTAAGCTATACTAGTACTTACAGGGCTGGGCTGGGTTGCAGCTGATGTCTCACATGGGGCAAATAGGAGATAAAAGAAAACAAGACTTTCTTCGATGAAGGATGCGACTGTTGTTATTAATTTAGATTAATTTTTCGACGACCCCCATCCGGTGCAAGGTACGGCGTATCACACTTCACAAGGCAGTTGGCGTAGTAAGTCAGTAAGAAAGTAGTACAGTAGTGCAGGCTGATGTTATACTTGGATTATGAAAAGACCTGTCTACATTATCTAACTGCAAGTTACCAGTTGCAGTAGTACTGTGTGTTTGTTTGGGGCCAAAGTGTGGTCGTCTTAATTATTCACGCAATAAGTCGTTGGGTAACACTTATACTACCTATGCAGGAATCACAAACCCATCCAAGATACGAACCGGTGGTATGTAGATTAGTTTGGTACTAGGTAGCTAGCTAGCTTGCTGCACCTTGTGTTCAGTGCTACAACAACCCAAGTATGGGATAGGTTTAGTATACATAATGTAATGTGTGTACACCCTGCCATCATGTTGTGGGACTCACACTAATGTATGTTCTCCGTCTGGATGCTCAAACTCCTAGTTTAGCGAAGGAGTAGGGTGTCACTCACTCACTCACCTTGCTAGATCCAACGCAACACCCGATTCGATTTCCGACGTCTCCCATCCCACTCTGGCGCCTATGGCGGACAATAGCTATAGCACCTACATATCACCTGCATAGCCTTGTTTTTTTGCAATTGCTCGCCCCTCTTCTGCTTTCCTTCTTTACTTTTCTTTTCTGTCTCTCCACCCATGTATGCAAGGCGATGCGGAGAGTCCGGAGTACCACCATACCTATCTGAAAATAGATCAGCGGGTGTGTACTCTGTATCTATGTACACACTCACTTACATACATCCATCCATCCATACATTCTGAGCAGATCGTCTTTCCTTGGGCTGGCTGGAGGGTTAGTGCAGCGAACCTGTCGATAATTTGTTGAACAATGATGTCAGAAGGCAGAAGAATGTTATTATTCTTTTCCTTTTACTATTTGTTTTTACTCTTTCTTCCTTTCCTTTTCTTCACACTCTTAAAACGGTATTTGCCCGTACCACTGGAATCTGCCTCCCTCCTCCCTCACTCATACAACTAACGATCATGCCAGTCCGGGGAGACCGTCTAGATACACAGAGAACAAGAGTTCCCACATATCTAAGTTAAATAGGTGTATGGAACCAAACAACAAACGCTCCCCCCTTCCCCTCCCCCCTCCCCACCCAACGTGTCACGGACAGTTAGTTGGCGATACAATCAAGCTTTTTCGCCTCCCAGGCGAGGGATATTAACCGTGTGTGTAATGTGGACAAGAAACCTTGTTTATGGTCATACCCAAGGTACCATGACACCTTAAGTGTGTGAGTCGACTGAACCTCATTCACCATCTGCGACCAATCGGACTTCGAGCGCGACTCAAAAAAAAGCCAAAAGACTAGACTAGACTAAATAACTAGTGTGGATTGTTTCACTGATCTACTGTGACTGATTCCATATGTTTCGGACAGGGCTTGTCTGAGAGAGAGAGAGAGAGAGAGAGAGAGAGAGAGAGTGTGTGTGTGTGTGTGTGTGTGTGTGTGTGCCTGTGTTGCCTGCGTTTCTGTGGTTCTTGCGTTTTAGTTACTCCGTCCGTGGGTTTAGCTGAACTGGACTATTGCTGTAGAGGATGTATCTACTAGTGAAGTAATTGAGTTGAGTAATATATATGTACGTAGTGTGGTAGGGTAGTAGAAGGTTCGCTGATCGGGGAGGAGCTTTGAAGTTAATTCTCCTTCCAGTTCGCCATCAACTTACTTACCAGGCAAGCGAGGTACTGGGTGACATGGTTTGGATCAACCTGGAACCAGCAATACTAACTATTTACGTAGGTTAGTAGGGACGCTATGCGTTCCGGACAAATGCGCAATGAGTCGCTAATCATTGAGACCTGTCTGATTCAAGATAATTCTATATGTTCTCTGTAGCCTTTTAAAGTTATCATACTTGTAGTAGCCTGTGTTAGGCAAACGCCCTTTCCGTACCTACTTAATCTATTTATCGTGTCTATTTCTCTAGTATGATACCGAAAAAAATCTGTCAGTGTGATCAATACAAATATTCTGATTTAATTTATTTCTTTTCTGCTCTTTTTTTTCTTTTATCTCCCCTGAGTTCCCTTGCATAAACTCACGTCACACAAGAACAAACTTGCTTTCTGGGAATTTTTGTGAGTCAAGATTTTTTATAGTTACTACCAATGTATGCATGTATGTATGTATGCCTGGATTTACTCCTTAGGCTACTACTACTACCTACTGCTTGGGCTCGGTTATGCTCCAATGCAACCCTTGATTCGGAAAAGGTTTCTGAAATGCCAAGGGGGTTAGAGGGTGTGTGTATAAGTAAACAGAAACAGGAGAAGAGGAGCAGCCATTTTGTGAAACGTCGCACGGGCTTATCTCCACTAGCATAATTGGTTTAAGGTAGATTATTCTTCCTCTCTCTCTTACTGGGAGAAATGGTGGGTGGGAAAGATAGTCAGGCTTATCATTCCGTTCATCCGTGTTTTCTCAATAATTGCGAAAGTTGGGTTTGGCCGGTGTGATTTGTATGCATGTAAGAGATTGACACTTTGATTCATTTATTTTGTTGCTTACTTTTTATTTGACAGTCGCGTAGTCAACTATTCTGGATAATTAAATTAAGGTGTCATCGTGTTGGATGACGCGCTTGGACTTTGATGGTGGGCTTGTGGGTGGACGTGGGGGGTGGCTGTATTTTATTTTATTTTGTTCAATGTTATAGCGCTTTAATCTATTTCAATGTAACTGATATGCAAGAATTTTTTCCAGACAAAATGGAGCCTGTTGTTTGCTATTGCTATGGCAGTGGCAGTGGCATTTAATTGTTGCTGTTGCTGTTGCTGTCAAAGCTATTGATTGACTTCTCTTCTGTTGGTTGGTCTTGTAGTACTGCCATGTCTGTAAGCCTACTTTCATTGTCGCACTCGCAGATCAACTACCCGACGCAGACATTGCTGATGGAGATCATCCCCCCTCCCTCCCTCTTCCTCCCCTCTCAAGTTGCATGAATGATCGATCATAGCCTGTTTGAATTAGGTTAAGGTACGGAGAAGATAAGGGTGTGTGCCTACAGCCTAGTCATTTTTTGACCTACAGACAAGGGAAAGACAAACAGACTACCCGAGCTGTGCGCACTTTTTCCTTTCTTCCAAGCCCCAAGCCCCAAGGCTGATAAGCTAAGACGACGAAAGAATGAGCATAAATGGCTGGCTTACTTCAATAACTCCAAACCAAGCGTGCTCTAGGCGCCCACCGTTGCAGCCCTAGTCGGGCGACTATTGCTTAGTTAGTGTGAAGGCTTCCACCCCCCCCCCCCTCTCCCTTGTCGCTCTCCATCCGCCACGCGAATGGAGATGAATTACCAGATTGGGAGATTTCCATGAGCGATTTGACTAATTGGCCGCCTCCGTGGCAGCGTATCAGACCTCCGTAGCCGAGGATCGCTATCCCTGACCAGGCCCAAGCGTCAAAGCGCTGCAGAGCCAAGCCATCCATCCCCGCTGACTACTTCGTTTTGGTTCAGCAAAAGTCGATGTAACACGAGTTTTCCGACTGGACCCTCGATTACCAGATAGCCAAGGCTTAGCCTGTCTTGCCCTGTGATCTGGTCTTTTACATGGTGTATGTACTAAGTAACAGAGTCCTATCTACTAAGTTACCTAATTGGTATTTCCCCGAGCACAGCAACTGACCCTTTCCATCCATTCACACACGCCCTTTCTCCTTACACCACCCAGCAAGAGTTCATCGTCTTACCTACTTAAGTTACTTAGAAACAACCCCTTCCCTCATACGGTATTGGAAATCAGCCTAATCTGAAAGCAATTTTTAGTCCGTGTCATATCACATATGGCAAGGGAGACTGGCGGCTAACTCCGTCGTGGCTATCATCTAACTATCCATCTGATGTCGCCGAGCCACTGCAAATTTACTGGGGGGCTATTTTTATTAATTCTCGCATCCTTCACCCTTTTTGTCCGGGATTCGGCCATGGCAGCCGACCTGCCTTTTTCAATCTGAATCCGGTCCCCACGGAAATACCGGACCGATTATGTAATGACCACACCAGAGAGGGCGCAAAACCACCGGAAGAGCAGAGAGCTGGACGAAGAAGTACAGGTGTCCTCATCTGAGTCAAGTTGCCGAGCAAGCCAGCCGATACGA